AGATGGATTGCACCGGTTGTTCTAAAAAAAAAGATGGATTGCACTGGCATTCAGAAGTTTCTTTGCTGGCAAAACATTGTTTTAGTTCGGAGATTGTATGATTGAGCAGCTGATCTCCTCTCCTGTGTCCTGCCGGTTTCTTTTAAAAAAACAGTTGCATACTCAAAGTACACAATAAGTAACATTCACTTACAAACATTGAACAGGCAAGGGGTGCAAATTTCTCTGAAATTGAAGAGCCCAATATATGAGCACAGTTTCCCTGGTGGAGTACACTGCTACAGCAGGAGTTCCACTGCCTACTTGCCTAGTGACGAACATGCTTGTACCTTGTAATCTTTACGACGCACTGGAGAGGTGCCAGTAAAATAGGGTGCATAGTGAGTTTGAGATGCAGTAGTACTCCAGACACATTTGATATTACTTTATGACTAGACGTAAAAATGAAAGATATAGTCAGCAGCATGATTGTTCACTACCGAAAACAGTAGCTTTGCCGTGTGTCAACCAAGCCCAAAAAACACTCGGCAAAGGCTTACTCGGCAAACAGCACACAACGTATACAGTGCCGGCAAAAATTTCTTTGCCGAGTGTTTTTTATCGGGCACTCGACAAAGACTTTGCCGAGTGCTAAAACCGACGCTCGGCAAAAAAAAAAGCAATGTGACGGCGCGGAGACGGTCACGACGCGTTTGCCGAGTGTCTAACGGCCTGGGCACTCGGCAAACATGCCCTTGTTTGCCGAGTGCCCCGGCCATGACACTCGGCAAACATGCCTTTGTTTGCCGAGTGTCTAGGACCTGACACTCGGCAAACATGGCTTCTTTGCCGAGTGCTGAGTGTCACATCCCGGACACTCGTCAAAGACTGACCATTCTAGGCCTAGATTTTGGCCTCTTTGCCGAGTGTCACAGTAACACTCGGCAAAGATGGCCATTTTAGGCCCAGGACGCACAGATTTTTGCCATGTGGCCTCTTTGCCGAATGTATTTAGCATGGCACTCGGCAAGTAGCCCTTTTGCCGAGTGTAACACTTGGCAAAGATACCATATATATATCCAGTTTATTTGGTTCGGTCACATATAATGTACCACACTTAAATAAACATTATATCCATCACAGATAGTTCACAATAAGCATCACAGACAGTTCATATAGATATATCGACAACACATAAATGCAACTAAACTTCAGAATCATAAGTAGGTTCATTCACAATCACAAATACAAAAAAAATCAGATTCACAAGTAAGAATAAATCATTCACAGTGATTGAGAACGAAACATACAAGTATTAGAAATAAACTAGCAACTAAAAATAGTGATTAATTATGCGGAAACTAAAAGTAGCTAAGTTACAATGATTGAGAATGAAACATTGATTACAAGGTTAACTAGGAACTAGAAATAAACTAGAAATTAGAAATATACACACATCACAAAGGAGAAAAGATTGATTATGCATAAACTATAAACGGTGATTATAAGGTTGTGAAGTGACTTACAGTGCTAGAAACAGTATTTGGAGTAGGTTGAGGAGGAGGGACTGGCATCAATGGCGGAGGTTGACCTATTGCAGCGTAAACACCCCTCATCATTTGAAACATGTGCAGTCGATCTGCCTCCATCCTCTGCCGCTCTACCTCCATCCTCGCCTCTAGCTCCTCCTGGAGCCTCGTTTCTTGTTACAACTAAGCCTACAATATTTCATTCCAATGTTACAATGTAATGCAAAAGTTTGTAAAAATCAATGAACGATGAATAAAACAGAAATAACCTAGAGTGCGTCCATCTGGAATCGTGTAGAGTCCGGCCGTGGGCGTATCGCCGGGCTAGAACTCGTGCTTCGTGCTCGAAGCTGGGAGAGAGTGGGAGTACCGGCCGTGTTGATTATGCCATCGCCAATCCAAAACTGGCCATGCTTCTTGCCTCCTCCCACCCTCATGACCACTTCTCCATCAAGGTCTTGGGCACTCGGATCGTACTCTGGGGATAGAAGGGCCCGCCATACCTGTGTTGGTGCTCGTCGCCGGCGATGGGTCCGACTAGGTACTGGCGAAGAGACGTGTTGAAGAGCGGTGGGGGTGGCACAGGGGGCCGGGGGTAGGGGGCGGCGTCGTCGGGGCTGGGGCAGGGGCGGCGTACGTCAGCCCGAGGGCGAGGCGGTGGGCGCCAGGGGGGGGGCAGCGCGGTGGGGGCGGGGCGGCACAGTCTGGGCATGGGCGCGGGCGTGAGAGGCCAGCGGCGGGAGACCGGTGGTGCAGGAGGGAGCCGTGGCCTTGGTGGCAGCAGGCGAGACGACTGACAGTCTGTGTGTGGCGCGCGAGGAGAATGCGTGTGTGCCGGTGAGTTTGCGTATGTGCGTGTGTGCGGGTGAGGGAGCGCTGGGCTGGAAATGAAGAAGGTTTGCCGAGTGTCGGATCGGGGAGAGTGTCAAATGGGGCACTCGGCGAACCCCACTTTTTTTTCATTTTTCTTCTTTTTCTTCTTTTCTATAACATGTTTTTTTCCGATGTACTTTGAAAATACCTTGTCAAATTGACTCAACAATATATATTTGATTTTTCTACGAATATTATTACATTATTTTATGCAGTTACAGCTCAAATTTAATTTATATCAATTAAAATTCTATAATTGCACTTAATAAATTAAAATCATCAAACGGATCCAAAAAATTACCAAAATTTCACATGAAACAATCTATGTTCTCTATTGCCTATATAAAAAGTTTTGAAGCCAAACCCTAATTCGACCGTCACTTTGACTCCAAATCTTACCGAATCCTTCTCAACGCTACGATCCTTCTTCTGAGATGCTTCGGTTTGTAAACATCGTGCGTGACAAATTGTGCAAAACGTTCTCAATTTTTTACCACAGCCTCCATGTATGATATCATCACATCATGACAAATCTCATGATTTTCAGACTTCGTTTGCTTTTTTTAAAATTTAAAAACCAACCGGGCACACGTTCGTGGTCGTGTTTTCTGAGCAAGATGTTCGAAATTTATTTTCATTTCCTGGGTAAGGCCTCACACTGGACTCAATAACATGAATATCATTTTTCTACTCATTTTATTCTATTATTTGAATCACTTGCCGTTCAAATTTGACTTATACCAAAAAGTTCCTAGAAATGCAATAAATTAATTAAATATAGCAAACAGATCCAGAAATATACCAAATTTTAACATGGAATACAACATGTTGTATGTGGAGAGTAGAAAAAGTTTCAAGGTCAGAAGAGAAAAAAAAATTATTTGCCGAGTGCCACATGTTTACACTCGGCAAACATATTTCTTTGCCGAGTGCCATAGGTTTAGCACTCGGCAAACATATTTCTTTGCCGAGTGCCTCCCATTGCCAAGTGTTTTTTGTCTCTTTTGCTGAGTGTATTTGTTTGCCGAGTTTTCCACTAACGAACACTCGGCAAACGTACTAACGGACGGCACACATTCTGACGGATGTGGACTTTGCCGAGTGTTTTTTTCTCATGTGCCGAGTGCCAAACTTTGCCGAGTGTTTTTTTTTGCCTCTTTTGTCGAGTGTAATTATTTTGCCGAGTGTTTTTGTGACAGTACTCGGCAAATAGCTTATTTGCCGAGTGCCCGATAGAATGCAATCGGCAAACATTTTAGCACTCGACAAACACCCAGTTTCTGGTAGTGGTTGTTACCATAAACATACACCTTAATTAAGTAAACAAAAAGACAGTACATGAAACCTTGCTGACGACCATAGAAACAAACAGATGGAGAGGAGGCACCCAAGCCAAGCAATTAGCGTCCAGTCTCTCCGCGTAGACGGGGTGCAACGTGGAGGCCATCAGCGCGGCGCTTTTCCTTACCCGTCGAGAAATCAATTAATCAATCAACTAGTACTGTATACTCGCTCAATCAATTAAGTTTGACTAAATTTATAGAAATATTTATGAAGCCCGCGAAGGTACTGTCCATGTCCAGAAGGAGGACATGTGACCAGCTGGCCGGCGAGGACGACCAAGAGAAGGGGGCTGCGGTCGGCGAGCCGGGACCGGGAGACGGTGAAACAGAGGAGAACAAGGATGAACTGGTGTTCATGAGCACAGCACCCGGCTTCATGAAGCTGTCACTGGACATCGCCAAGGAGACGTGGGTCGTCGGCGGCTGGGACCCGATCGCGAGGAGCCGGAGCTGGAAGAGGTGACCGCCAATGCCAAGGCGCCAACTCGCGCCGCGTGCGCGCGACGCCGACGAGGATGATGTGGAGGCGGAACTCGTCGTGCTTGTACAGATCGTATCACTGGTTTATGTGTTGGAACATATATAAACTCATGTTATGTAAATGTTCGAGTTTTAATCTTTGCATAGGAACTTGAGATGGCATTGAAATGAGCCCGTGCATTTTTCTCCCCAAGATCCTCGTGAAATCACGCAAAGTTCTTGTTCCAAACATAAGTTTCGACTTTCGAGTCCCAACCGTGCTAACTACTCCAACGCGCCGAGAATTTTCTTTTTCTTTAGAAAATAAGAAGTTGAGAACGACGCTCTGCTCAAATATATATAAAAACCGACGCCACCAGTGTGGCCTGCCCTCTCCATTTGGCAGCAACAACACTCAAGGCCAACAGAACACAGGCGCTCTGCTCTGGCACGAAAACTACGGTAGATTGTTTTATGCTGCAAGCCTGCACAGCAGAGGACTCTGCCACACGCCTGCACAGCAATAATCGATGATGACCACACTGACACACGCCTGAAGGTGACCGTGGACTGAGGTCGTCAGTCAGCCGATGAGACGACCGATCCCCACCCAATCCAATCCGCGTTGGAGGAGTGCGCGTGGGCCTTCACGTGGGCCAGTACGAAGATGCCTGACCGCTTCTGCAGTATCCTCTGCATCCACCATATTGTCCGATCTACAGTATCACCTACTATAATAACAACACTCGGGCTCCAGAACTGATATATCCTGCCATTCTCTTCTACCATAGCGACATTATTGTCGATGGTTGCCACCATGCATCGCCTAGCTGCTGCCATGCTCGTGTTGCTCTGCTGCTGCTGCTTGTTCCTCGCCACGCAGCAGCAGCTCCAGCCAGCCGCCGGTGGTAACAGAGCGAGCCCGAGCTGCATACCACACGAGAGGGACGCCCTGCTGGCATTCAAGCACGGCGTCACCAGCGACCCTGGCGGCGTCCTCAGCTCGTGGCGGCGAGACGGTCGCCACGACGAGCAAGACTGCTGCCGGTGGAGAGGCGTCCGGTGCAGCAACCGAACTGGCCACGTCCACGAGCTTCGACTTGGAAGCACCTTCGGACCAGAGTTGGCCGGCCAGATAAGTCCTTCTTTGCTTGCTCTGGATCACCTAGAGCACCTTGACCTCAGCGGGAATGATCTAGCAGGGCCAACGGGTCGTCTTCCCGAGTTCTTGGGCTCTCTAAAGAATCTCAAGTACCTTAGCCTCTCTAGCATACCATTCTATGGTGGCCTACCTCCCCAACTTGGCAACTTGTCAAGGCTGCAGTATCTAGATCTTTCCAGCTGGAGGGGACACACAAACTCGACGGATCTCTCATGGTTAACACACATTCCTTCGATACAATATCTTATCTTGAACCAAGTGAACCTCAGCACAGTAGCGGATTGGCCTCGTGTCATGAATATGCTTCCTTCTTTGAGGGCCCTCCATCTTTCAGACTGCTCTCTTGCAAGCGCAAACCAGTCGCTGCCACACCTGAACCTTACAAACCTCGAGGAGCTCGATGCCTCTTGGAACTCCTTCAACCATCCAATGGTGACCAGCTAGTTCTGGAACATGACAAGCCTTAGATTCCTTGACCTCAGCTACACTAGCATGTACGGTCAATTTCCGGATGCACTGGGAGACATGACATCCCTGCAAGTCCTTGATCTTTCAAATTATTATTATTATTATGATTATCATGATGATGACAAGAACATGCGCAGCATGACCGTGGATCTGAAGAACCTATGCAATTTGGAGGTCCTCAACCTTGAATGCACTCTCTTATATGGTGACGTAGCTGAGCTGTTTAGGAATCTACCTCGATGTTCACCCAACAAATTGCAAGAATTGGACCTCGGTTGGAACCATTTAACCGGGATGTTACCAAGATGGATGGGGCAATTCATGAGCTTGGTTGTTCTGAACCTAGGTTGCAACTACATCACAGGACATGTTCCATATGAGATTGGTAAGCTTAGTAATCTGACTCATCTGAATCTATATACAAATAAACTAGATGGCACGATAACTGAGGAACACTTTGCTAGTGCAAGGAGCTTGCAATATATAGACTTGTCATATAATGCCCTCAAGATTGAGATCAGCTCGGACTAGCAACCACCATCTACATTAGAGTATGTATACTTTGCATCCTGCCAGATGGGCCCACTGTTTCCTGGGTGGCTTCAGTGGAATGTGAGCATCGCCCATCTTGATATCTCGAGTGCAGGTATAGCTGATAGGCTTCCACAACGGTTCTCCGATGCCTTTTCAAATGTCGAATTCATGAACATCTCCAACAATCAACTCAACGGAACTTTGCCGGCTGATATGGGCTCCATGTCACTTCAGGTACTCTACCTCAGTTCAAACAAATTAACTGGTCAGATACCCACGCTGCCACCAAACATAACGTGGTTGGACTTATCCAATAACTTGTTGTCAGGACCTCTGCCCTTTGCTACTAGATCTGCCAATCTAAGACACCTTTCTCTGTTCTCCAACCGACTCACTGGTCATATTCCTGAATCTTTTTGTAAATTTCAGAGACTGGTTGTGTTGGACTTATCCCACAATTTTTTGGAGGGAGAACCACCGTCATGCCTCAGGGTAATGGAATTTATGGAATTTGTAGCCTTAAATAACAATAGTTTGTCAGGAAAGTTCCCGTCTTTTCTGCAAAACTTGACAAATGTGCTCTTCCTAGATTTGTCTTGGAACAAATTCTCTGGAAGATTGCCAATGTGGATTGGAAGCTGAACATCATTAAGAGTTATACGATTAAGTCACAACAAGTTCTTTGGTAGCATTCCAATGAACATCACAAACCTTTCTTGCCTTCAGTACATGGACCTAAATAACAATAAGATATCAGGATCTCTGCCGATCTACCTATCAAATCTTAAATTTATGACAAACACATCCATGATGGGTTGTTCTGACGGCTTTGTAATAATTGATTCTGACGGCAGTGAAATAATAGATTCTCTTCTTGATAGTTTGTCTATGGTCTGGAAGGGTCAGGAATTGAACTATGGTTCCATTCAAAGAATTTTGGACACAAGTCTGACGAGCATTGATTTATCTTCAAATGACTTAACCGGTGAAATTCCAGAAGAAATAGTTGTTCTTGATGCGCTTGTGAATTTGAATCTATCAAGGAACCACTTGACTGGAGTTATTCCAAAGAAGATCGGGGAAATGCGATCACTGCAATCATTGGACCTCTCGAGGAACTTGCTTTCGGGGGAAATACCAGCCACTGTATCAAATCTGACGTTCTTAAGTTACTTGGAATTATCATACAACGATCTTACAGGAAGAATTCCATCAGGAGTACAGCTTGATACCCTGTATGCAGAATATCCATCTATGTACATTGGTAACATCGGTCTTTGTGGACATCCTCTTCAAAACAATTGCTCGAGTGAGCGTCATGCACCAAAGCAAGGTGGCTTGGGAAGAACTGAAGAAGGTTATGGGATACCATTCTTTTATCTTGGACTCGGGTGCGGCTTTGTGGTTGGTGCATGGATTGCATTTGGTGTTTTGTTGTTCAAGAGAAACTGGAGAATTGCTTGCTTTCGACTCTCAGACAAGTTGTACGACAAAGTATATGTCCTTGTTGCAACATGGGCAAGAGCAAGACAAACACAAACTGATTAGCAAGCATGCGGCGCTTCAACTAAAATTAGCCAATGCATGCATGTATGAATAATGGAAGTGGGAGAGAAGTCTGTTCAGGAGTGCTTTGAATTTTGTTACTACCAGTATTACATATTGACATGGTTTTCTTTACGAAATGAAGATTCGTGTGTCCGTGTTTATCTCTTATATCATGTAATAAACTGAGAACCGACACTTGATCATTGGCCAACATTAGTGTTTGTTGTACAAGATAGATATTATTTGTTAGTATATAGATAATAACATAAGTATGTTGTAAACTCTGGCTGATCTTCAGGATGTTGGTTTGTAGTCTATACAAGACGTTCGCCTGGTCAGCTCAGGGCGCTATATAACACGTAGACGCGGCCTCTACAGAGGTTAATACGCTCCACCAAGCTTTACAGTAATAATTATTTCCTTATGATGATGAACATTAAGACATGGTCAATCAATTCCATGTAGCGCTTCAGGCGGCACTACATCATTGGTCCCTGTGGGCCATGGTAGTCGGATCCGGCAACCTGAATACGACCTATCGTTGCATGTTCCACGCTCATCGTCCACATTAGGGCTTGTTTAGCTGCACCCGTATCCACCTTAGTCCACGTGTGTTGAAGTGGATTGAGGTGAATATAATGTGCAGCCAAACAAGGCTTGGCGTGCCGTGGAATTTCAGTGTACCTAGGCGAGGGATGATATGAATCAAAATATCATGGTCTCATCTGCAATCAAAGTGTTACATATAAGCAACATTCACTTACCATACACATTGAACAAGAAAGCAGAGAACAAGGAGAGCAAACTTCTCAGAAATTGAAGAGCCCAAGACATGAGCACCGCTTAACTGGTGGAGCAGTAGTATACTACTACACCTGCAGTACCGCTACCTACAAACTGGAGAGCGCTGCTAGTCAAATCTCAAATGGGGTGCAAAATGACTTGGGGATAGTACTCCAGGCACATTTGAGATGATGATTTAGTTTATATATAGTCACCAGCATGATCTTTGTTACGTACCATCGCAAGGGAATAATCATGTTCAATCTGCCCACACTCGACTCAACACAAAACTGATAATATGGTCATAATAACAAAACGAAAACTGAACCACGAAATGATGATGGTCCGGTTCTGGTTCTCTTCATCATAGACGAAAAGCAACACATAAGGCAGTCTAAGATGATAAGCAAATGATTTATTCACAGCTCTAAACAAGTTATAAACTAAATCAGGCACCACCAAAAAACAAGAACGCAACTTCACCAAAAGGCTACAGATCGAACTGTGTAACCTTTATAGAGTAAATCTTAGCAATTCCAACTTTCCTAGAACCAACGGCCACTTGCAGGTTGCCAGCTGCAACGGCTGCTGCTGCATCTCTCCCTTCCATAGCTACCTTTTAGGCTTTTACATACCACATGCTGGGACTTGGACGGCGCTGGCGTCGTCGCCGCCCTGGGCGCGCCCCTGACCGGCCGTGGCCCGCGGGGCTATTTTTCCAGTGGAGCGAGACGATGACGTCTGCTAGCCTGCTTTCATGCATGGACGGCGCCAGCGACGACAACGTCCTGGGCCTGTCGGCCCTGTCCGCCCGCGGGGCAGTTTTTCCAGCGGAGCCGGAGGGAGACTGCGCGAGGTCGTCGGCGGGCCCAGGAGTACGTGGCGACGGTCCTCTTGACGGCGGCGGTCCCGTTGGTGTTGAGCGGAGGAGCAAGAGGAAGCCATGTGTGCAGTGTGCTGTGGGCATAGCGTGCTTAGCTTCCTCGGCACTGGAGGGGGGAGGCGACGTGCCTATGCAGGAGAGAGGCATGACGGTGTGGTGCGGGCGACAGCTGCTGGCTTTGTGTAGTGAAGGCGTGAAGTAGGAGGACGTCTCACCTCAGACAAGCGTGGTCGTCACGATTACTGTTGTGTTGAAATTTTATATTCACTACGGGAAACAGGGCCTTTGCCCAGTGCAACTTGCTTTGCCGAGGGCTAAAAATCAGGCACTCGGCAAAGAGCTATTTTGCCGAGTGCTGCACTCGGCAAAGAAGGATTTGCCAAGTGTCAGGCACTCGGCAAAGCCAGACTCGACAAACTTTGGCGCTCGGCAAAAAACGGCGTCAGGTAACGGCCGCCGCCTGCCGTCCAGGTTTGCCGAGTGCCAGCGGGTAGGCACTCGGCAAACCACTTCTTTGCCGAGTGCCAGACCCTGACACTCGGCAAAGGACTAGGGCTGTCGGTTTGCCGAGTGCCAGATCGGGGCACTCGGCAAAGATTTTTTTCTTTTTTTAAAAAAAAATCTAAACCCTAAAGCCTAAACCACACATTTTAAAAAAAATAAAAATTATCACTTTGCCGAGTGTCGGGCGGAGAGGCACTCGGCAAACATTTAAAAAAACTGGCACGCTCTTTGCCGAGTGTCATCTTTTGACACTAGGCAAAGGGAACACTTTGCCGAGTGCCTACCATCTGACACTTGGCAAAGAGCACGTTTGCCGAGTGTCAAACGATGACACTCGGCAAACCATTTTTTTTTATTTTGACCTCCAAACTTTTTGTGTAGTCCTCTTACAGTACTTGGTACTCCATGTCCAAATTTGGTACATTTCCCAAACTGTTTACTATATTTATTTAATTTATTTCATTTAATTGAATTTCTTCGGAAAATGCAAATTTGAACTGCACGTGCATCGAATAATGGAATTTAATGATTCAAAAATGATATTCATGGTATTGAGTGTAGTGTGAGGTCATATCCAGGAACGGACCTGAAATTTTGAACATCTTGTTCACGAAACATGACCACGAACTTGCGGACGAATTGTTTTTAAATTCTATAAAATGCAAACGAAGTCCAGAAATCATGAAACTTGTCGAGATGTCATGATATCGTATGTGGAGGATGTGATAAAAATTTGAGAAGGTTTGGTGCGAGTTATCACATACGATGCTTACAAACCAGGACATCTCCACATGTGATATCAGATATCCCCGCGCCGCCCCCGTCCCCGGCCGCTCCTCTCCGCCTTGCCCCGCCCCAGCAGCCCCTCCCTTTGCCCGCCCGGCCGCCGCCCTCCCAGCGCCGCCCTTGCCGCCCCTCCTCCCTCCTGCTTTGCCCGCCCAGCCGCCCTCTCCCGCCCCGCCCCGCCCGGTAGCCCAGGCTGAGCCACCCGCCAGCCACTCACCAAGCCTCCCTCTGACCGGCCTCCACCTCTACCCTGCCCACTTTGCCGCTTCTCCTACCCCTACCCCGCCAACGCTGCCATTGCCTCGCCACAGCATGCCCGTGGATCATGGACGCCCCTGACGCCGCCCGTGCCCGGCCCCGTTCCCGACTCCGGCGACCCCGACGTCGCCCGCCCCTACCACCTGTGCCCGTCAGGTATGCGTTCTCTCTTGTTGTTGCCGTGGTAGTGATAGTTGTAGTAGTACTGCTAGTGGTAGTAGTAGTATTAGAAGTAGTGGTTGTAGTAGTAGAACTAGTGGTAGTAGTAGTAGAAGTAGTGGTAGTAGTAGTAGTAGAACTAGTGGTAGTAGTAGTAGCAATAGTTGTAGTAGTAGAACTAGTGGTAGTAGTAGTAGCAATAGTGGAAGTAGTGGTACTACTCGGATATATTCTTCTGCATGGATTGATATCCAAACTACATGGCTTCTCTTGAGACATATGTGCTTGTCGGCCATCGTGCCGTTGTTTTTTGCAGGTTTTGGCAACCTCACCGTGCAGGGGAGGTTCTGCCGATTTTTTTTAAATGACAGTACTTTGTTCCATTTTTGTAGAGAAGAGCCCGTCGGAGCCGAGTCGGAGTTCCCATCGCCGTGCCGGTCTGCCTGCACCGCGTCGCCTCGCCACTGCACCGACCCGCCACGGCCCCGCTAGCCTGACTCAGCCGCCACCCTAGGTATAATTCCTCTTTCCGTATCATGGTCGTAGATCGCGTAACCTAGTTAGGCGTCTCCCGTTCGAAACAGATACGGATGGAGGTATACAGATCTTTGCATATCTATGACCGTATCAGTTTCGGATTGTCTATGTTTTTTGGACAGCCCGCGGATGCGTAGATAAGTTAGTTTCCATGGTCTGCTCCGGTCCGAGATAGAGTTTCGGCATCACCTCCCTGTTGTTCTCCGGATACGCACTCTTGTTTGGCAGGACGTGTATCTAGAGAACAGCGGGGAGGTGCTGCCGAAATTCTGTCTCGGATAGGAGTAGAGCATGGAAACTAACATCATCTACGCATCCTCGGGTGGGATTAAGACCTATCCTCACCTATTAGACAGTAGGAACACCATGTAGATGCAATTGATGGTTACATTACTCGCTAATACATATGTTAGAGGATGGATGACCGTCAGTGGATGTACACGGGCTGGAGAAGTCAGAGTGATTACACCACGGAATGGATGAACAAGACCGATGCTTTCTTGAACAGTGCATTTGGCAAGGCTGCTAAAGGATATTACCTAGTTTTGTGTCCCTGCAGCAAATGTGGAAACAGGAGAAGGGTAACACAAGGTGGAAATGGGTAAACATCTTGTGAAGAATGGATTTACGCCGGACTACACCCGGTGGGTCCACCATGGTGAAGCCCATCGTATGAGAGAGGAGGTGGTGAGACAACGGGTGGATTCTTTTGATGCTGATGCCAGGGTAGCAGACATGTTAGATGACTTTCACCAAGGCCAGTTCGATGAGGGACGTGAGAAGGAGGAGATGGAGGCAGCCGCACAGGTGTTCTACGACATGATGGATTCAGCACAGAAACCCCTTCACGATCGGTCAACGGTGTCTCAACTGTATGCCATTGGACGCTTAATGGGGTTGAAGTCTGAGTTAAACTTGAGTCGAGAAGGCTTCGATAAGATGTTGGTCGTGATTGGCACCCTGCTTCTGGAGGGCCACATTCTGCCAAAGAGCATGTACGAGTCACAGAAACTTCTACGTGCACTTAAGATGCCGTATGAGCAGATACATGCTTGTCCGAAGGGGTGCGTCCTATTTAGGAAAGAACACG